TAATAATAATAATAATAATAATAATAATAATAATAATAATGATAATAATAATAATTTTAATAATAATAATAATAATAATAAAAATAATAAAATTCTTGTATAATATAATCAAAATAAAATAGCTTAAAAATACTATAGAAAAAATAATAAAGTCTCTATAACAGAGGGCGATATCTATTTAAGGTATATAGAAAACATCATGATATACGCACAGAGTAGAGTATAGTCCGAGTTGAGCTAGTTTTCAGGGCTACAAGCTTAGTCTTAAATAGCTTTCAGCTGGCAATAATCATAATAAATTTTATTTTATAAAAAAAAATTTTTGTATAATATAATAAAAATAAAACTTCTTACAAATATTATAAAAAAATTCTCATTTGCTAAGAGAAAAACTGAGGCGTTATAAAAAAGTCTATATAAAAGAAAGACAATATCTATCTAAGGTATATAGAAAACATCACAATATATAGATAGAGTGTAGTTCGAGTTGAGCGCGTTTTCTGGGCTACAAGCGCAGCTTTGAATAGCTTTCAGCTAGAGTAATACGCTTAGAAAGATTTCAGTAAGAAAGGCAAGGGTTAGACTAGACTCTTATCAAGAGATAAGATAAGAAAGGGTTAACTAATTTTTTTATATTTTATTTTTATTTAGTTTTTTGTACAAATTCTTAACAAGATTACTTGACTATCTTTACATTTAGTGGCAGCTTAATCTAGTTCCACATTAGGAAACTAATAACTGAAAATCGAATATCTATACTGAGACTACATATTTGCGATTCACTACACTGAGAGTAGATTATTAATGATATTGTGAGACTAGCTACATGGGAGATCTATACATATATGTAGGTGATAGATAGACTTGGCGAATTGCGAGCGAAAAGGTTTTGTGGAGGGCGCAACTCGATTTAAGGGCTTTATTTATGGTCGTTATTTTAACTTCGCTTTGTGCTCCACACTCGACTTTGGTTCGTCTACATCTGCTTTGGCTGCTTTTCATAGCATACTTTGGCGCGCCGTTGCATTACTTTTTATTGCATTGCCAGCAACTGCAGCAGCAGCAGCAGCATCAGCAGCAACAGCAGCAACTCTCTTGTTGTTGCAGCATATTTCGTTATTTTAAATTTCATTTCCACTCAAGCAGAACTCATTCGAGGCGCACAGCAAAGGCGAGAACAGAGAAAATAAAATAAAATAGCAAAAGTAAAAAAGAGAAAAGAAAGCAAAGAAAAGGAAAAAAAGGAGAAAGGAGAACTCGAAGCAGGAGGCGAAACGCGCCGCGTTAAGTGCTAAAAGCAGCAGACCATTTTTTATTTCATGCCTTTATTTCCCTACACACACATATATATACATATATATACACATATATATACATATTTTATTTGTATCTTGAAATTTGTGTGCCAACAAAGAGAACGACGCCCGCCGGCAACAGCAGCAACAGCAGCAACCGCAGCAGTTGTAGCCGAGTCCAAGGAAAAGCCGCGGCGCTGTAGCCGCAGAAAATGGCCGCAGCAGCAACAACAACAACAGCAGCAGCAGCAATAAGTGCCACAGCAACCACTCAAGCAAGAGCAACTGCAACAGCATATTGAGCGAATGAATGAAAGCGGCGACAGCTGCGACGGCTGCGCGGACTGCTGAAGATGTTGATGAAGATGAAGACGAAGATGCCGAGCAGCCTGAAGTGCAACACGACAATGCCAAGTGCCAACAGCAACAGCAACAGCAACAGCAACAGTAAAGGAGGAAATTAAGTGCCAAAGGCAACAGCAACAGCAACAGTTGCAGCGAAATCAAAACTAAATTTACATAAGAAAACAAGAAAGCACAAGCCAAGCACAAAGCATAATCAAAATAACAGCAACAGCAACAACAACAGCAACAGCAGCAACAGCAGCAGCAACAGCAGCAGCAACAGCAGCAACAGGAGCAACAGCAGCAGCAGCAACCGCAACATGGCAGTTGCTGCACGTAGCTGCAGTGGGCGTGGCCAGGCAGCTATCGCCCTGTGGTTAATATTGCTGCTGGTCGGCGACAGCAGCAATGGCCAGGCGCAAGCAGCAACAATTGCCGCCACAGCAAGTGCAACAACAACAGCCACACAACATTTGAAGTTTGGTGTTGCCGGCGATACGCCCACACTGACTGCAACGACAAAGCATGAGCAACAGCAGCGTCAGCACAGCAGCAACACCACAGCAACTACAGCAGCAACAACAGCAGCAACAGCAACAGTTGCTAATGCAAGCAGCCAGTCAATAACCACCACAACACCAACAACAACAACGGAACAGCTGACACAGTCGGTGGACGCGGTGGTGCGGCTGCTGGACCTGGAAGTGACAGCCGCACCACCAATTGGCAGCGGACACGATGGACTCAAGCTGACTAAGAAGAAGCAGCTGCAGCAGCAACACTTTGCCACAGCAGCAACAACCACCAGCAAACTGGAAATAGACACTACTGACGCACCCAGCACCATCAGCACCACCAGCACCACCAGCACCACTCCAGATAGCAGCACAAAGCCCGAGCTGCTGCCCGTGCCCAACGGCTATTTGGGACCCATTTTTATGGGCGAGAAAACGTTTAGTGTGGCGCACCCACTGAAGAAGCCACTGGCGCCCAACCACCAGGAGCCGGCACCGCATGACGACACCATCGAGCAGCAGCTGCGCGAGGGGCGCATCGTGGAGATCCTGGCGCCCACAGCTCTGCTCGAATCGAACGTTGAGAGCAGTTCGCAGCGACCGGCAACCACCACTAGCAGTACCACCACCAGCAGCAGCAGCAGCAGCAGCACCACCCTGCCGGCTGCACCACACACGCAGTCAGTAATGTCAACAACCGTATTTCAGGTGCCGGAGCCGCAGAGCAGCACCACCCGTCTGCCCATGGCAGCGGCTGAGATAACGGTGGCCGGCTCAGCGGTGCTGGCGGCACCACCGCGCACCGAATCCAAAATATCCGACATACAAATCGAGGTCTACGACTCGACGGTCGACTCGATCGTGGCCTCGACGAATTTCCGCGACTCGCAGGGCTACTACCCGAAGCCGCTGGAGCGGTGGCCGGTGGCCGGCACCACCAAGCCGCCCAGCTCGCCCATGGCCCAGGAGCGCTTCACCCAGTACGTCATCGATCGCGCCGATGTCTCCACCCAGCCGGCCGCCGGCATGGGCCAGGCTGTCCTGGGCGTGGCCGGCGTGGGCGGCGTGGGCAAACCCGAGCCGGCTGCCATCGAGATCCACATCAATGTGTCGGAGGCCTTCGGCAACGAGAGCGAGGATCTGGAGTTCTCCTACCGCCAGCCGGCGGCCGGCGACGCGAAGGCGAGCAAGCCCAACGATGAGATCCTCGTTGTGGAGATCATCGACAACAGCACCGAGAATATATCGAGCGCCAGTGCGGAGCACTTGAATCTCAGTTCGATGTTCAGCTATCCGTACCACTCGGACGCACCGCCGCCGGCAGTGCGCCCGCCGCAGGATGCGGCCGACGAGCTGTTCATGGCCGACACGAAGGGCGGCGATCGGGCTGGCCTGCCGAGGCCACCGCCACCGCCACCGCCGCCGCCGCCGCCGCTGCCGCGCAAGCCGAGCATCGACCGGGACTCTGACACCATCTTCTATATATCGAACACGGAGGTCAAGGTGGGCGAGTCCCTGCCCACGGCCAGCTCCAGCAGCGAGCAGCAGCAGCAGCGCAAGCTCCAGTTCGAGAATCAGTTCTTCCCCGCCAGCTACAGGCAGGATCCGTCGCAGTTGCAGTCGCAGTCGCAGTCGCCGTCGCAGTCGGAGCGCAGCTCTGCAGTCACAGCCCGCTATGAGGAGGACATAATACTCTCGCCGCAGCATCACACGGCCGACGCACTGAAGATTCTGCGCAGTCCCAGCTCCAGCTCGGACGGCGCACCGCCGCTGGACGTGACCTATGTGGGTGAGTCGGTGATTGAGGTGGAGCAGCAGTCGGTGCCGCCACTGGTTCCCGCCAGCTCCCAGCAGCCGGACATAATCATACAGCCGGCGGTGTTGCCCGACCTGGCCATCGGAGTGCCCGTGATTGGGGAGCTGCCGCCGCAGATCGAGCTGAAGGAGATCGACTATATGCCGGGCGAGCTGATCGGGCAGGGGCGCAGCATCTATGAGAACGACATCGAGAGCAACGGGCTGGGCCTGTCCAGCGATCCGGATGTCATTGAGAGCTCCATTCAGTATGGCGGCGATCTGATCGATGACGGTGCTGGCGGCGGCTTCGACGGCGTCGAGGGCTCCTACCCATTCGAGAGTCCCGCCCACCGGCTGCAGCAGCAGGACGCAGAGCAGGCGCAGCACGGCCTCAGCCACCAGTCGATCAATCACGGCTTCAGTCACCTGCATCGCGAGGAGCTGCCTATGGCGGAGCTGCTCAACGCCACGCTCCAGCTGCACAACGAGAGCGCCAAGGGCAGCAAGTCGGGCGCGGCCTCGGCCATGGCGCCGCTGCTGCACGGCGAGCGCATGGGCAATGCCACAGCTCTCTCCGAGGATCCGCTGGCCAACTACGATGGTGAGCAGAGCCGACTCAAACAGCTGCAAGCTGCAAACTAATCGGCATTGCTCTTCCTCTTCTTCTTTCCAGGCTTCCTGAATCTGTTTGCCGTCTCGATGGGGCTCATCATAGTGGTTCTGCCCGCCGGACTGCTGACGTCCATGTATTGCGCCGTGCGGTAAGTAAATGCTTCTATATGCTGTGCATGAATGTGCAGGAGCTTAAGCTCAGCCGAAGCAGCTCGTAAGTCAATGTCAGCTTTTCGAGGGATCCCCTGGATTTCTCGGGCATTGCTCAGCTGCAATGTGCATGAAACTCGAAAATAATTGCGATTGCTCAATGAAGCAGACAGAAGGGATGGCTAGCCGTGTGGGGAGGGGGGAGAGGTAGGGGGTAGGGGCAGGGTTTTTCTATATTGAAAGCCAAATGGTGGCAATTGCTGCAATAAGCACGCGCGGCAAAGCAGGACGAAACTACCTACTAATCCGACGCCCTGTTTATTACACACAGAATAGGTGAGAAGCAGGAGGAGGAGGAGAAGAGGGGAAGGGAGGAGGCGACGTAGCACAGAGAACAAGCCAGCTGCAGTTGCTTTCAACGTGCCAAAAGGGCTACCTGGAGCAGCAGCAGGAGTAGTAGCAGCAGGAGCAGGAGTAACAGAGGCAGCAGCAGGAGTAGCAGGAGTAGCAGCAGCGCCAGCAGCAACATGTCACATGCACACACACGTGGGCTTGCATGCTCTGCTTAGGAATAAGCATAATACACATGGGAGTTGACTTGGCTTGGGTGGGCGTGGGGGCGTGGCAAATCGCATTTATCAGCTTCATTCTGGCATTTTATTTCTCGCAGCAAATCTGTGACTTAGCCAGAACTTGGGTGTGACGCAATGTCAGCACGCAACATCCTTTCAGGCGAGACCGAGTCGCTGCCCCAGCCCCTGCCCCCGGCCCAGCCCCTGCCACTGCCCGCGCACAGCCTCCTGCGATACACATAAATCTCGAGCATGCCACGTAAATGGGAATTTGTTGCCGTTGCTTTTTATATGCGGGCACTAAATGCCAAACAAAATGAAGGCCATGCGTGGCGGCTGGCAGGAGAAACAGAAGCCGAGGCAGAGGCAGAGGCAGGAACAGGAAGTGTGGAGCTGAGGTGGGTGGCAGGGGCGGGGCGTCAAGATGAAAGCTGCACCGAAAATCTAAATTCGCCACAAATCAACGGCGGGCGTCGACAGACAGCGCCGGAAGCGGAAGTTGCCCCCGCCCCCGCCTCCTGCCCCCCTCAACAAGCATAGACAGAGAGAGAGAGAGCGAGAGCGAGAGGGAGACAAGTGAAGATGATGAAGATGGCAAGTGGCATTGAAGCTAACAAGGCGACGGCAATGGAGGCAGCGGCGCCTCTCGCCTTGTTGCAGGCCCCAAAGCAAACGCATAAAACGTCAAAATGGCAACCGCAAACCAGTTGCCAGTTGCCAGTTGCCAGTTGCCAGTTGCCACAAAAAGGTGCCACACGAGATGAAAGTCGACAAATGCGCAACGGAAATAAATTTTTGCCAGGCTTTTTTTCTGCTTTTCTTTTTCCTTTCTCCCGCCACACAGGGTATACCGTATACCCTATACGGGCCTGATTAGGCACATGAAAGCTGTGCATAGATCAATCTTGCAGCTGAAAGGTGATATGTTGGGCTGCATAGCTGAACAACAATTTGTTATCGATATCTTTTCGAATATCTCCATATCTCTTATCCGCTCAGTTAAGAACTCTAAGGAGATGTCGATAATAAACTCTTCTGCAGATATGCAGCCTTAACTTTCCCCCAAAGTGC